TACAACCAGCTACCTTAGACCTAAATAGATTTACTTTGCCCATGATTCAAGGCATATCTACTTATCTCTATTGCATAAAGAATTATCCCCCAGGTTAAACAATTCTGGTCCTTAAGTGTTGATACACTTATTAATCTAGATTGTTGTTAAAAGACTAATCCCAAGTGAGTTGAAGAAGTCCTCATCTTGGAAGCCTATTAATCCATACAAGAGGATTGATCTGGATGCCCAATTAAATAATTGGATGAGTCAGCAGTAGAAGTACCATTCCTCACTGACTCCTCCCTGTTTCTTTTACAGGTTGAGGGATTTAACCACGAATAAACCTTCCCACTTACCATACTTGTTAACACTCAGAGCACAACCCTTACAGGTTAGTAGCATAGAGGCTGACAAGGATGCTTACAGCATTGATGGTCCAAATAACGTCCAAGAGTTCTCGGTCGCAAGAGGGGAATTGCAGCTCTATTCGAAAGTACTCTTGAAAATCATATCAAATCACGGCAATCCGGATCTGACGTGTCTCTACCGGGTTCAAGTTCATGGTAAATGGGAGAATACACCTGAGGGATATGGTTCACATCATGTAACACCAACATAATCACGTGTAGCTGCGTTCTCTTGAATGGATGGATCAATTTGCATTTTCTCTTCTTTACATTGAAGCAAGTCATTCCAACATTCTAGACTCTTTTCCCGGAGGAAACACATGTACAAGTTCATTTTTATGCCTGAATTGCTGTGGTCTAACCAACTCCTACCAACATGTTGAGCTGAAAAATGGACAGGGAGTGAAAATCAAACTTCATCATCCCCTCAGTTGACCGAATTCTCGAAACTCTCAACGGGCTAATGTGGGCCCTCAAGCAGCCCAAAACGTGACAGATGTCTCCTTGAAAGAAACCCAGAAATGCTTGAATAGATTTGTCTACGGGATTAGACTGTTCACCTTGGGTGTAGGGTGGACCAGAAAAACTAGCAAGTCACACCCGCTCCGCCGCCACTTTTACTTTTCGAAGTCACGTGCAAAAGCCAATAAGCCTCGGGTGATGTGTTTAATATTTAGATCAGCTCATCCACGTCGATGTGACCCAAGATGCCATGATCACTGCGATCATCGTTGTTCTTAACCTGATCAGTCTTGGTGCATCTGGTCCGCTACCGACCGATAAACCACTCGGACCTAGATCATTCTCAAGTACTCATATCTCTCCGTAAGGTCCCTTTGCCTCACACTTCATCCTTCTACCTCATCAGTATCATTTCTTAACTTGGTCTCTTGCGAAGTACCTTGTACTGTTCGTAGTCAGTGCTCGTAGTCATGGGCTGCAAATGTGAAGAATGCGGATCGCACAGAAAAATACATCGTGTACTCTTGCCGATCGCGGCATATCCAATGCCACCAAGGTGGGACTTCTTTTGCTACCAAATACCAATAAGCTTGTCTAGGCAAACATTTTTTGTTGATTATGGGTTGTAAGGAAATTCGGTAATAAATATAGATGTATCTTAGGCTTTTTCATTAAAAAGGTTTTTGGAACAAAGTATCAAGCATATCTCGAGGTATCAATAGCAATGAGTAGGTTTAGTGTAGTAGACGTGTCTCATAAGAACATTATGCATCTATCTTTTTCAGCGCCCAGTGTAGGTTCGCCATTCTTTTGAAATGCCTATGGCCCCAAGTAATACAAGTGTTCATATGTGGATCCCTAACCTGCTTCAATGATGACAGTGCTGCAGCAGGTTGGCCCAAGTAGTTATACCCTTCGGCAAGACTTAGGTGAAGATCAACAAGAAGGTCTTTGAGAGTTCCATCCGGCTGGCCCACATCAATGGAAAGGGATCCAAGGCTTTCGGAAATGAGTTGCACAGCCCCTCCGACGTTTCCATTACGTTTCATGAGCTGAGTACGCCGTTGTACAGCTCGCAGACTACGCTCAAGTATCGCAACTTTAGGATCTTGTGAAGTCTGGAAAAATTTGAACGAGATGTCATTGTCACTCAAGTGGCCAACCCGTCACATCTCAATGAATAATCTGCAAGTATCAACTCACCACGTTGGTATCCTGTCCTTCGGCTGATTCCGCTTTACATACAGAGTGAAGGCTGGCAAGCTCGTTAAAAAGGGAATGGCTCCAGCCTATTGCTGTTCGATTTTTTGTATCATACAGCTCTTGTAATGTGATTTGAGCCTTACCAACATCACCCAACGCTAGATAGCATCGTGTTAAATTGAAAATTGATTGAATTATTACAAGGTTATCATCCTCGATAGATTTTCCCCACCCAGAGCGGCTACCCAGTAACGTTTCGTACTCATTCGCAGCCTTCGAGTAATCGCCGATGGTATAATATCGGTATCCCTTCGCCGATCTCTGCGTAAGGAAGTTGCATGCAGCTTCAAGATGCATTGGAATCCGGTATTTCTGTTTCAGCGATTCACGTAAGTAAACAAATACACAACATCCCCGCAAGAGATATCAACTACACTGACCATGAATTCCAATCTGCGAGATTTACCAGGCGGGTACGGAAGCTCCGCGTCTTCTGCACACCGTTTTGAAGCAGTGAGCTGTCTCGAAGAATTGGCAGACTGGTATGTGGTCGCATGTACTGTGAGTTCAGCTTTAGCATTTACTTGTGGAAGCATCTTTCTTGTCAAGAAATATATTGGAAGTCGCTAAGATATAACGGGAAGATGGGTCAGTTATGCCTCACTGTAGCAAAATCCAAAAGAGTCAAAATCAGTGTGAATGGGTGAATGTACGCACACGCAAATACAAATTCAGATTGGATGGGCGAAAGTTGTGAGCGCTAGAACTTGAGGTGTCATCTCTTTTTTTGTGAGTGAGGTGCAGACGGACGCTGAGTTGGCGATGCGGAGAGGTGTCCCACAGGTTGCCTTGGTATAAGGTCAAGTTGGCGACAGCTTAGCTTCATCCCCTTTTGGATGACTTGCTCCGCTTTGGCCATGGAGACTGATCACAATATCATAATCTTGAACCACAAGATGGGCATTCTCGGTGACTTGCATGTAACGACTTCCCTCTGTAGAGCGAACGATTCTTTTTTTTCCACTACAATATCTTCTTTTTCAAAAAGGAAGAAAAAATATGGGATTTCTAACAGGTTGAGCGAAAACGGGTCAGTAAGTAAAGATGGATAATGTAAGTGCTGGCGGAGAAAGTTCATAGATCCCAAGTTTCGGTATTTTGTTGACCTGTTTCCAGACTCAAGGCTATCACAAGACGCGCATCTACAGTGTTTTGTAGCCGGTTACGGGTTTGATTGCTATGTACGGATCATCCAAAAAATGTTTCTCATGATCTGAACAACCCAACTACTCTCATGGCGCTGTGCTCGAGAGCCATAAGAGCCAGAGTCTGAGAGAATGCACCATTGCAAGTGACGACATTAATGAGCAAATTATCTGTGTACAGTTGTATCAAGAAATCTCCGGCATTTTGCTTAACATTTTTTCGGAAAAGAATTGGCCCTAAACTACATTGTCAAGCCCCTCGAGCAGAAGGTCCGGGGGACCCCGCGCGAAGCGCTCTTCGTACGCGTTGCGCCAAGACTCAAGAGGGACTTCTGATAAGTTATGGTCAAGACCTGACAAGACGAATCCAACCCCTTCTTTCTGGCTTAAGCGACTTGGGCACTCGTCTATGGCGCCCGCCTTCTGGATACTCTGTCGATGCAACCAATGCGCTAAACTCAGCCACCTCAATGCCGATGGAAAAAAAGTCTTTGGGCGCGAATGGAACAAAAACTCGACACCTTACAAACAACACCTGAAGACCCACCCAGCCAAAGTATCTTCTTCCCGTTCTGATGCCTGCAATCGAGGTCGATGTAACAACAAGAGACAAGCCGGAGATCAAGTATCCAAGCCAGTGTCACAACCCCCAAGACCCCAAGTCACTCAAGAACTCCGTGAACCGAGGCCACCAGTAATTCCCAATCCGGATCCCGCAATTACGCTTTGGAAAGGCCGAACCATCAACTGTGGTACGTTTCACTATGAATAGACCCTGTATAAGTGTTTTCTAATGAGATGATGTTTATGTGTGATTACAGGAAAATATGCTTCCTTCTACAATTATTTTACCCAAATCGCACACCCAAAATGTCAGTCCGGAGTCCTTCTAGCAGCATGCCAATACTTTTTCCTGCACCTCAGCTCCGAAGGTGTAACCTCCACACTTGCCTGTCTGAAAGGCATGGTATCAGACTTGGAAATACAACGCGAACGATTATATATGCCTACCGATATTCGAAAAATTATCCAAGACTTGCATTTGGGTCCAGAAATCAGAAGAACAGTCTGCTGCCCCCGGTGCTTCTACCTTTACCCAGTTGGCGACCCTCCCCATGCGTGTACTGCTCGAGCCACCCGCAGAAGCCAAAAATGCCTCGAACCACTGTACAAGACAGATACTCGTAACCCGGGCAGACCTCAAGTCCGTCGATACTTCTCTACTCAATCGTTCACTGGTTGGCTGGCCCGTTTCTTGGCACGACCTGGAATCGAAGACCTTCTCGAAGAATCACTTTTAACAACTGGAGAAAATACCTCTATTGGTGATATTTGGGATTCGAATATGTGGAAGACTCTCAAAACTTCGGATGGCCAACAGTTTACTAGCTATTCAGGGAATCTTGTGTTCTCGCTGAATGTCGACTGGTTTAATCCATCTGGTAACAAGACTGCTGGGAAGCATATATCCCTTGGTACAATTGCGTTGATCTGTTTGAATTTGCCACCTCACCTTCGAGCTTCGCATGACAATATCTTCTTGGCCGGATTGACACCTGGACCCACCGAGCCCTCCGTTACTCAAATAAATCATGTTCTGGAACCTTTGGTTAAAGAATTGAAGGAACTTTGGACAGGAATAAAATTTGATTCAACCTTTAATCATCCCGCGGGCCGCATCATCAAAGTTATGCTTGGACCTATAGTCTGCGACCTTCCAGCAATTCGTAAGGTCCTGGGAATGGCTGGCCATAGTTCCTACAAGAATATGTGCTCTTTCTGCCGTGTAACGAAAGGAAAAATTGACCGGATCGATCTAGATCGGATACGTCCAAGAAATGCCGGTGTTCTCAGGAAGCAAGCTAATAACTGGAAGAACGCGATCACTCATGATGAACGCAATAAAATTTTTGCAACTTATGGAGTTCGCTATTCTATACTGTTCGAATTGCCATATTTTGATCCTCTTGCCCATGCGATCGTCGAACCTATGCACAATATATTTCTTGGACTGCTAAAATATCACGGTCAAGCTCTTTTTGGTCTCAAGACCAGCGAGCAGAAGTCATCAAACAATGCTCGTTTTCAGCCAAAATCTACAACCGAAGTGGAAAGCGATTCTGAAGGTACCGAGATTTCCGACACAGAAAACGGCGCCTGTGAAGGCAAAGGGAAAGAGACTGCTAGCAAAGGCAACCAAGAAGATAACATATCCTTTGAAGAACTGCTTGGCACGTTTCAAGACCTACGTTTTGCTTCTGACTCAACATCTAAGTCTTCTCAAACCTCAGAACCAGATTCTTCTAGTTCTGACTCGGATTCGTCACAAGCCCGAAGTTTCATGCATACCATCAACTGTGAGGATCCTACTGCGCTCAACCCCCTTGGCGCAAGATTTTTTGCAAAGGATCAATACCTTCAAGTACTACGTGAGGTCAATTCCGAATTCGTGCTCCCAAGTTGGATTGGTCGCGTGCCGTCAACAATAGGCAGTGCAAAAGGTGGCAAGCTCAAGGCTGACGAGTGGGTCATAGCGTTTGAAATCGTAATGATCCCGACCCTTATCCGCATTCTTTTCGAAAACTCCAGCAACATTTTCCAGAGTGAGGTGTTCAAAAATCTGCTCCATCTCATCAGTATAACAAACATTGTCCGAAGTTTAGAAATAACCACTGGCGACATTGAAGCCTTGCGCTTTCATCTCAAAGCCTATCGACAAGGGCTTTTAGAACTGTTTCCATCTTTTCCTACCATGCCAAACCATCACTATGCTCTTCATCTTCCTGATTGCCTCACCCAGGTTGGTCCGGCACCCCAATGGACAGCGTGGTCATTCGAGAGGTTGAATGGATCGCTAGCTTCGATACCCACAAACAATCACCTTGGCAAGTTGTTTATTTACGTAATGACTGTAATTAGATAGCATCTGACTCTTAATGCTCTTATACATTTTAGAATCACGTGATCTGACCTTATTGACAAGATGGGTGACTGCCCAAAATTTTCGCAATCTTCTGCCACAGCTGTCTCAAAATCTTCCGGCTCAAGCTTCTCGATCTCTTCTGAAGTTTATTACACCCAGCAAAAGCGTTGGGCAGTTTGTACAAGCCATGAATGTGACAGAAACCAAATTTTCAACGTTGAAATACAACCCCAAGAAGCTTGAAACACTAGACCTCGGAACTCACGAAAAATTTTTGCGCAGCTACAAGCTGAAATTTACTGGTCCGGCAGCTCTATGTACTAGTTTCTACAAATCCTGGAAAAAAGATGAAGTTTCAAGCCTGGTCCCGAGGCTAGTGCACCAACAGAAATCTATTGCTTCAGGACATACGAACTACACAACCTTCGACCAACACGTTGGGAACAGTACTATAATATATCGTATTGAGGAGAATGAAGGCAGCGCACAAAATGTTTGTGGTCAGATAAGCCACATATTCACAATGCAAATTTCGAAAAAGAATTTACCAGCTCAAATTCAGCTTTGGTTTCAAGTCGACCGATTTAAGAACTTGACACCTGGCGACCAAAGGAAACATCAATTTAAAGATTGGCCTCACGTTCGAACCCACATTGTGTACGACACAAAGGCAAAAATCGACTTTATCCAAATTGATGCAATAATTGGTCACGGAGCTACATGGAATTTACCTCAAGGATGTTTTGGTATTAAGAGAAATGCCCGTGTTATTGTGGATTTGAGTAAAAAGGTTGGTAACAAGCTTAGTTCTGCATCATTTTATCGTTTGATATCATGCTGATTCTGATTTACTTTATGTTTAGCACTTAGTTCCTCTTTACGAAACTCTTGAATAAGACTTGATTTTTTGCTTCCCACTGACTGGTTAACAGATAGTTTCTGTGTACCTGGAAATTTTCAAACCAGAAGCCCGAGTCTAACGAGAGTTCCTGTTTTCTTTTTCTACATTGATATCTTATTTCAAACTCAATCTGTGGTGGACGTGGCTTATCAATTCCTTTATTTCACTACTAGAAAGCTAAAACAAAAATAATTTTTAACAAGTTGCATCAGACATCTCGCTTCTCTCGAGGAGATTCATAGATATATTCACAACGTTTGCGATGAAGCCAAGTTGTTATATAGATGTGCAGAGATAGGCCGTAAATTTCATTTCTGTGCTTGGGTCCGATCTTGCCTGGGAAACTTGACTGGTCCCAGGTGGCAGGCCAGCAAGATTTTTGTTTTGACGACCCCATTTTTGGCCACACCGACTGCAGCCTGCTGGTGGCTCCCCCCGCACCTGCACATGTCTGGAGGTAACAAACGTACGCCGCCGTGACCACCGGAGACAACTCACATACCGGCTCCATATAGCCCTGCGAGGAGCTGATTTGCAGGTCACCACTAAAGCAATCGAAACGTCTTGTGTAAAGAACATGTCGCTCTCAGCAGTGTTGTGCTACCTAATGTATTATTATGCCCAGAGGCTGCGATTGGTCTGTACTAGATGGACACATATTGCAGATCGCTGGATGATATATTAGTATATGCGAAGGATGGGGATACCAAAAGTTTTCGGAAATTTCTCCTGGAAAATATTTCTCGGTATTTATACCGGAGAGGACGAGAGAAGAAATCAACCAGAGAAGGTGTTACCGGTGACGTCTCCTAGATCGAGAAGTGGAACGCCAGCTTGGGTAGGTAAGGTAGGTACGTATGTAGCCATCAGTGTGGTACATGTTCCGGCTACTTGCACATCTTGCCCCAATCTCTCAGCAACCGCTGTAGGAATTGAAAACATTTCCAGTAAAAAACTCGGTCGTTCTCAGGTAGCACCAGGCTGCCTTATGTATGTAGCTCAACATTTCTAGGCTGATGACAATTTAGATTTTGGACATTAAGTCACTATAATTCAGCCTGCCAGATGAGCTGTGCTCAGGGGCTACCGATCACCTCATTCACATCTTCGTGTGGCTTCAGGATTGGCTTCTCGCATCGTCGTCTGACAGTTTACAAGACAGTCTACATGCGCACTTCACGGGAAACGATTTCTATGCCCATCATGTCTGAAGCTGAATACTCTACCAAAACACCGGATGCTAAAACTTCTCAGTGCATCATGTCTAAAGCCGCATGCCCTACCAATAGCCCGTATGTCGAGAAAGATGAAAACATCGATACAATTGAAGACCATGGATTGCTGAATGATGCGAACGAGATTTCGGTGAGATTTCTTCGTCAAGTTTTGTTACTGACCTGTTTTGAGTTTAAATGGTTTGAACGGTCTCTCTCAGTTCGATTCCAATACCTTGGACTATTCTCATACCGATTATGGTGAAGAAGCTCTTTGGGCAGAAAATATGAAGCTCAAGAAAGATTTGAAGAAGCTTAAGCAAAAGGAAACGAAGCTTTCACGAAACGAAGAAGTGATTCTAGGTCAGCTACAACATAGCGAGGAGGACAGATACGCATTGGAAGAGAGACTGGCTGAATTTCGCGATGATTGTAATGCGAAAGCAAAACTTTTGGAAGAGTCTCTGAGTGCGTCTTGAGCCCGAAACTAAAAAAAATCAGCTTACTTATTTCCATGACATTTTCTTGCTCACTACTATTCATCTTCTACAGAACAACAGCATTTGTTGAATCTCGAACTAGACTCCATGACCTCCAAGTGGCAAATTGCCCAGCAGGAAGCACGCGTGCACATGGCCAAGACGGAAAAGGGGAAGCAGGGAAAGGTACAACTTTGACCAGCAGTCATGAGTGGACAATGTACTGACAATACGTGTTTCAGGAGATTGACGATGATAAGCATGTCAAGCAGCTGTCACACAGCTTGCAAGAACTGCAGCTCAAAAACATGGAGCTCCAAGATTTGGTCGAATCGCAAGAAGCGACAATCCTCGAGTTGAACAACACGATTGGTGTATTGTCCTCCTCAAAAGAGCAAGAGCTACGAATGGAAGACGAAGTCAGCATCCAAAGGGTTTTGCTTTCCGAAGAACTGGCCCGCCAAAACGACGACTACAAATCTACCACGCCCGGGGAAACTAAACCAAATACACCGACGCCTTGTGATAAGGGAAACATTATAATTATCCCTGTTAGATCACGTGTTGAAATTAGTTACAGAAGCCTGATTGCTGGAGCAGGGAAAGAGTTTTGGAGAATACTATCGGGAAAGTTGGTAAATTTCTGGGAGAAGTCTACATCTTGGGCTCATCACTTGTGCGCTGGTATTGTTTTGGTTGTCTTGGTAGTTTTATTTTTTTCTTTCTATTTCCTAAGATTTGCGATGGCTCAGGGTGATGATGCCACAGTCAATGCATGGTGGTACCTCAGAGAAAAATATGTTGTGAATAATGACATGTTGTAATTTATAGAGCGGGCCTCCATACCGCAAGGGAATTGGTCAATGGATAAAGATACTTGATAGGCAGCACCGGGCAATCCCAACCTACCATGGAGCTGGGACGGGACCACCTGGGGTAGGCTGACCCTCTCCTAAGTTTGCCTACTTCCATAATCTTGTAACCGTTTCAACCAGACAGTCTCACCTAACCCCTGCAAAGCCAATCAGCCGGTTTGTCATCATTCACATCTTCATCCAGCTACCATGCTGACTGCCGGAGTGCAGCAGAACTTCTCGGGTGAGCATTTTTCTTAAGAGACAAGACAAAAAAACAGAGAAAAGGCATAATGCTAATAGTTCGACCACAATTTATACAACTTTTCTCCCCATAGGTTTCTCCTCAAAGACCAGTTCTCCGCGGAGCTCCGAGGAGGGTTTCTCCGCGGAGAACTGGCATGTAGCAGTTCTCCGAGGAGGGTTTCTCCGCGGAGAACTGGCATGTACCAGTTCTCCGAGGAGGGTTTCTCCCCGGAGAACTGGCATGTAGCAGTTCTCCGAGGAGGGTTTCTCCCCGGAGAACTGGCATGTGCCAGTTCTCCGAGGAGGGTTTCTCCCCGGAGAACTGGCATGTAGCAGTTCTCCGAGGAGGGTTTCTCCCCGGAGAACTGGCATGTACCAGTTCTCCGAGGAGGGTTTCTCCCCGGAGAACTGGCATGTAGCAGTTCTCCGAGGAGGGTTTCTCCCCGGAGAACTGGTATGTACCAGTTCTCCGAGGAGGGTTTCTCCCCGGAGAACTGGCATGTAGCAGTTCTCCGAGGAGGGTTTCTCCGCGGAGAACTGGCATGTACCAGTTCTCCGAGGAGGGTTTGTCCCCGGAGAACTGGCATGTACCAGTTCTCCGGGGGAAACCAAAAAAATTGTGATTGCCTCGGTTGAGCCAGCAACCGATGATCTCAAAATCATCGGTTTCTGACCTTCCGAGGTCCCAGTCGCTCGGTTGGCCAACCACCGATGGCGATTTCATCGGTTGATCTTATGAAAGCTCGGTTGAGTTTCAACCAAGCTTTCATCACTCGGTGGGTGGTGGCCGAGGTTACCTCGGCTGCCTACCAACCGAAACATTGGATTCATCGGTTGGCAGGCCTCCCGATTTTACCTCGGCTGAGCCGCAGCCGAGTTTGAATCGGTTATCGAAACCCTCGGATTGCGACTACCCGAGTTTAGCTCGGATATTGATTGCATCGGATGTGCGCAGCCAATGTTAAATTGGTTGCGCGCATCCCAGATTAACTGGGATGCACACATCCATTGCTTAAATGCTGGCAGTGCGGATAACGGATATCCGCAACGGATTATCCGCGACCATCTCTATATTTAACAGATCATCATCAAGGAAGAATGTTGTCAAGTTTGATAAGCCTTAATTTGCACTCAGGAAGCCTTCAAGAAAGCTTCCTGAGTTGTGATTCGGAGCTTACATTATAATATAGGACTTCAATTAGTTAGCGCTGGATTTAATTTTCATTGTTCTGGAACAATTTAAGCCGGGTCCAGGAAGCAAAAAGCTTATTGTGAACCCCGCTAATGGCAAAAAAAATATGAAGAATATGAAGAATATGAAGAATATGGTGATGTACTGCCACTTTGGCCAAACAATGCTTCTGTTGAGGGGTGTGATTTGAAGTACAAATTGAATATTCAGAATGAGTTGAAGAATGCGCGGGAGTTGATAAAAAGGAAGATTTGAGAAGTGAAGTTGAAGCAGGTTGTTTAAAATTTTCTCTTTGGAACGACTATCTCCATTGCGATTCATAGCAATCAAACATCAAGAAAAAAAAATATCAAGCCAAATCAAGAAGAGAGAAACAGGTAAACGAATAAATATCAAGGTCAATACATCAAGAAACTCATCACATGTCTAATCACTCAACAGATTCAAGAACCAAAAAGACAACATCAATTCAGGAGGAGCTGTTGTTTAGCAGGAGCCAAAACAATAGTTTGTTGTTGTTTTTCCTATTTCTGTATCTAGTTTCATAAATAATGAGATACTAAATGGCAGTTGTTTTTTCAGTTGTTCTTACAATCTTTAGTGTTGTGATTGTGTCCGTTTCATCAGATTGTCATTGTTCATTGTGAATTATTCATCATAGTTACTGTTGGTATTCTCTTCTTCTTCTTTCATTGTTTACACTCTCACATTTGATGTTTTCATTATTTGATTGAATATCTTCTTTGTTTTTTATGATTGATTTTCTGTTAGTCACTCTACTACTACTGGCTGTTAAGAATAAGATTTTCAATAAAGAGACTCTTTGTGAATCACACAGCTTCTGTACAGCCAGAGTGGCCAAAAAAAAAAATGATCCCAACTGTCACTTAGGCTGTACTCTGAGCAGGGATTGTTGTCCCTCATGGGCTGGCCAAACATGGTACCCACATGAGCTGTCAACTGGGCCATGTATCCAACCGATTGGGAGCTCCTCCACCCGCAAATTATCTTCAGTTTTGGATGACTGGTCATCTATCCAAGTATAACAACCAGTCATCTATCTGTGTGGCTGTTTACCTTCATTCAACATCAAGCTTCCCCCCTTCATCCACCCGGTTTGTCGGTCCGAAAGTGCAGTACTCTTCCCTTCATTGAACAGTGCCAAAATCGGTATTCTATCCATAGGCTGTTGTATGGCTTCCTTGGACAATAGATTCTGTTTGTTTGTCTTTTCTTTTGGAAGGAGTCAATTGTCCATGCGTCTCCTTGATAAATCAATGGAAGAAGAACAAGGAAGAAGGAAAAAGAAGAAGAAGAAGAATGGATGTAGATGGAGTACTGTATAGAGATGGTTGCTTTGCATCCGGATATCCGGCTGCTTTTTCCGGGGAAATCAGCATCCAAACCCGCATCCAAAGCCGCTGGCGGGTATCCTCAGATACCCGCCCTCTAAAAGGTTGGTGAGGCACCGGCTGGAAGGGGTTCCTTCCAGTTTTTGAGGATGCACCTCGCTGGCTGGAAGGGGTTCCTTCCAGTCAGCAAGGATGTACCTTGCCGGCTGGAAGGGGTTTCTTCCAGTCAGCGAGGATGTACCTTGCCGGCTGGAAGGGGTTCCTTCCAGTCGGCAAGGATGTACCTCTCCGGCTGGAAGGGGTTCCTTCCAGTCGGCAAGGATGTACCTCGCCGGGTGGAAGGGGTTCCTTCCAGTCGGCAAGGATGTACCTCGCCGGGTGGAGAGGTTTCCTTCCAGCTGGCAAGGTACATGTAACTCGTCAGCTGGAAGAAACCCATCCAGTTGGCAGTCAGCCAGGTACATGCACCTCTTTCCAGCTGGAAGCGTTTCCTTCCAGTCGGCAAGCATGTACCTCTCACCGGCTGGAAGGAAACCCTTCCAGCCGGCCATTGGCCTTGGGTTGTTGCAATGAACTAGGCCAGAGAGACAGTTCGTGGAAGGATCAGTTCATTGCATAACTCAAAAGAGAAAAGAAAGAAAGGAGAGAAAAGGAAAAAGGACTCACCTAGGCCAGAGAGACAGTTCGTGGAAGGATGAGGAAAAGAGAACTTCCACGAACTGCCGGCTGGCCTAGAGTGACTACATACAGGAGTGTCACACATCTGTGACATGAGTGAAAATGATGAAAGGTGAGAAGCATAGAGAGAGAAAAAGAGGAGAAACAGAAGACAGAGCTGTGAACCTCAACACCCCCCCTTGCTGATGACCTGACAGAAGAAGCATAAGAAGAAGAGGAAGAGAGGATAAAGGAAGAAGAAAAGAAGAGAGAAAGAAAAAAGAAACAAAAAGGAGAAAGAAGAGAGGAAAACAAAAGGGGGAAAAAAAAAAAAACTCAGACAAAAGAAGGGGAAAGAACTGTGGTCCTTTTTTTTTTTTTTTTTTTTTTTTTTTTTCTTTCATATTAGACCAAAACGGGACCGTTGAGACTCAAGGGCAATCCGCTGCAGTGGCTTAGTGAGCATATCAGCTCGCATGTCGTTAGTTGAAACATGCAGAACAACAACCTTCTCAGACTTGACGCATTCCCGTGCAAAATGGTACCTGGCGTGAATGTGTTTTGTGCGTGCGTGATGTTCAGGATTTTTTGCCAGAGCCTCGGCTCCCTCGTTGTCAACATGAAGAGGAAGGGCCGAGACGGGTCGAAGTCGTAGTTCACCAAGAAGGTACCGGAGCCACAGTGCTTCCTTGCAGGAGTCTGACATGGCTTTGTATTCAGCCTCAGTGCTGGACAAGGATACAGTTGCTTGTTTCCTGGATTTCCAGGATATAGCTCCGTCACCCACATGGAAAGAGTAGGCAGAGGTTGAGCGTCGGTCATGGCGGTCCTCAGCCCAATCGGAGTCAGAGTACCCAGATAGGTTGATGGAACCGCCTAGTCTTAGGCGAAGGTGCTTGGTGGTTATGAGGTAGTTCAGCACCCGCACTGCTGCTTGCCAGTGGGCTTCAGATGGATCCTTGAGAAATTGCGAGAGCCGGTTTACCGAGAATGAGATGTCCGGTCTGGTACACTGAGCAGCCCAAAGGAGAGCACCAACAAGTTGCGGGTAGGGTCCGGAGGAGGTTGGTTCTTCTGGCTGCCTGGGTACTAGATCTTTGAAGGAGGAATTGGTTGGAGTAAGGGCGGAGACGTGGGCATCCTTGACAAAGCGGTCTTGTAGGTCGTCAATGTAGTGGGATTGGGAAAGGAAGACATGTTTGTTTGGGATATCACGATCGATCTTGATGGAGAGGAAGTGATGCAGTTCTTCATCCGCACCAATCTTGAATGCTTTACCAAGGTCAGAGATGAGAGAATCAACAAAGGAAGGCTCACCAACGACCGCAAGGTCGTCAACATGTGTGGTGACTGCCCCAGACAGCTGATTGTTGACTACACTGAAGTAGAGAGTGGGATCATATTTGGATTGAGTAAGGCCGTGGTTCACAAGGGCCTTGTGAAGTTCCAGATTCCATTCGCGAGGGGACTGTTTCAGGCCATAGATCGATCGGCTGACTTCACAAACCCAGTCCGGGTGAATTGGATCTTCAAAACCGGGCGGCTGTTCCATGTAGACTGGTTCGGATAGTTTTCCGTTGAGAAACGCTGTCTTGAAATCCACCTGGCGGCCTTTCCAACGCTTGACAGCTAGGAGAGATAGAATGAGACGAAGAGTTTCCAGCCGCAGGGTGGGAGAGAACACCTCGTCATAGTCTACGCCTCTTACCTGAGTGTAACCCATTGCAACTAGACGAGCTTTCAATTTCTGGATTGTCTTGTCGGCGCGGCGCTTGACTTTGAAGACCCACTTGGACTTGATGATCTTGCGTTTTCCTGGGCGAGGGACGAGCTTCCAGGTGGACATTCCTAAGAGAGAGGCAAACTCTTCATCTGCAGCCTTGAGCCATTTCTGCTTGTTTGGAGATTTCAGGAGCTGACGCCATGTCTTTGGAGTGTCGGAAACATTGTCCTGGACGGCGGATTTGGACCAGTTCCCGAGGCGTTCTGGTGCTTTCTTGGTCCTGGTGGATTTCCGTCCTGCCGCCCCAGTGACCTTGGGTTGCGCTGGGATTGGTTGAGGGAGGAGAGGGGAGTCCGGAGAAGGATTTTCTCTGGGAGCGTGGATTGAGGCTGTAAGACGCCGATCGAACCTTGGTTCCAGCTCGATGTTCAGGGGTGGAAGATCAGGCGTCGGGACTCTGGCTGGACAATCGGGAGTGGCATTTGGAGAGGGCACTGAGGGATGGGAAGGACGGACAGCGGAGAGGGGCCAGGGTATTTCAACCATGATTGGGGCAGGGTCAGTTTGGAGAGGAGACTTGTAGGGAAATTTGGAGTCCTCAAACGTGACATCTCGGGTTTTGACAGCAGTCCGACGTTCCAGGTCCCACACTTGATATCCATTTCCATCCGGCAGGTAGGAGAGGAGCATGGACGCCCTGCCCTTCACGTCCAGTTTCAACCGGTTCTCTTCAGGGAGCTTATACCAGACCAGACACCCAAAAGGATGGAGGTAGGAGGGTGAGACAAGAGGCTTGCCTA